TCGATCTGAAATTTCGCGCATGTTGATTCCTCCTCAAGAAGCTACTCATTTATCGGAACTGCCGATATCAAATCACAATGGAATTTATCTGTTATACAAACTGACCGGTTAAAATCAAGTTCTTGTATGAAATTCGACACAGCTGAAACCTGAACAGAAAGTACAATATTCAAAGAAACTGTTCAGATCAGATCACTAATGCATATAGCTGCCATACAAACTAACTGATCCAACTCAAGTCCTCGTATTGAAAACTTTTTTATTGTACAAGGTGTGGATATGAAATTTATCATTATGCTCCAATGAAATGTTTTAGACTGCGAACATATTATTCCGATGAGATCACTATAGCATATAGCTGTCATACAAACTGACCAACCAAAGTGAAGAAAAAAAACTTTATAAAAGATATTTTTTCCTTATTAAGTAATCTGAATTCGACTTAAAGGTTACTACACATATAGATCCTTTTCACAAAATATAGTCCTACTCTTTCTCCTACTATAATATATTATATTTAACTTTTTCTCTCTTACCCACTCTCGTTTCCTCTAATTGTATGTTTCTCCCTTCTTCTCTCTCTTCTATTCTATAACAATAATAGCCCTCTTTGAATAAAATACGCCTCCATATTTTTCTTTCTGCTTCTCTCTTCCTCTCCCTATATCTTTCTCATATACTCATTCTTTTTCTCTTTTTCATACTTTCTCTATCTCTACTACTCAATATATCTACAATATTATTATGTCTTTCGCTTTCACTAAAGCTCTTTTTTACATTGACGATCAGCAGATACACCACATTGTGATCAAGCGTGGGAGTCTTAAGTTTTTCGGGATTCGGATAAAGCAATATAAAATAATATATATACACAACTTTATGACAAGCAACAATTCCAAAAATAAAAACCTTTTTAGGCAATTTCCTTTAGTTTTTAAAGGAAATTTGAATTTGAATTGAATAGTTTTTTTTTGGGTTTCGTTTAATTCTATTTCACATTTTCACTAAAATATTTCGCAAAATTTTTTCGCTCAGTTGCCTAACTGTAACATTTCTTTTATCTTACTACATAAATTCTTTAAATAAGTGGCAACACGCCTTAAAAGTATTTTCACCATTAAGTATTTTTCAAACCTGTTTAGCATGACTCCTTAAAATTTGTATATAACACATTTTACCAAACACTCTGGCAACCCTTCTCAAACTTAATTTGGACTGTAGAACTTCTAATTCCTCTCCATTTTGACAATACGGATAATATATACTTTACCTCAATTATTTAGAAAATTGCGAACAAGTGGCAGCTCTGTAGTTGTATTCTTTTGTTTAAACTGCCTAAGTATTGTTAATGAATTCACGAAGTATAGAAAGACCCCAGAGAGCAGGTCATCAGACGTTCTTAGTAGATTGTCCTCCTACCTTGAACGATTTCACTATTTTTGTGCAACTCTCTAAAAAACCGATATAAGTATTAAACCCTTGCTCCAGAGTTAACGCCCTACTTGTGAGTCAAATAATTATAGAAGCAAACAGAAAATGTTTTATAGTCTCCTCTTCTTGTACCTCCGGATAGCTTCTATAATCTTCCTTATGGTATGATGCACCTACTCTGTTGGAGTATAAATTCCCTCTTTCCCGGAGTCTAATCGTAAGTAAGGTGGTGCCTGCTCTTGCTCGTTCATCTGTTGTACAGTTACCAGGGATACCACTATGGCCTAGAACCCATTGTTTATCGTGAAAGAAGATTCTTGATCTAGTAACAAATCAAGGAATTCTTTCACTATTTCAAAGCGACTTGGCTATCTGTATATATAAATATATTCCTTATTATGAGCACACATTTTGTCAGAACAAGAAGACTTCCTTTAAGCTTCTTGCGGAGAAAAGGTGTCGTGCAAAATCTTACATCGATAATCTTGAAAACTGAGGGACTAGATTCCATTTATACAGCCAGATGATTATATATTATATATATTTATAGAGTAGCCGATATTTCTTTAAGGGTGTTACAAACATCGTGGCAATGTTGAAATACCCTCTTCCGGATACAAAAAATGGTAAAAAAAAATTTATCTTATTTTATGACGATGGCAAAATTAATTCTTTCATAATTTTAATGTAGCTTATACTTGTTATACTCCTAAATTGTTCCAGAAACAGTCAACCAGCTTGAATAGTTAAAAAATTAATAAGCTACAAAGTGATGAAGTCCATATTTTATTCACTTCCTTTAATCTCTATCCCTTTTGCAACTGAATTTAAAATCTTGTATTTCCGTCACTTACTTATGACGTCCATAAGCCAACCTCTGCTGTATATAAATGTATGAGTGCAATCTCTTGCTCACAGTTTGACCTAAAAACCGTTTTATTGCCACTGGAAAATATTTACACACAGCCTTTACGAGCGTTTAAATTGCAATCGAATTATATTTTGCACATTTGTTGCCTGCTTAAAAACCAATTAAAATGCAATTAAGCCTAAAAGGTTCATAAATATCAACTGTTGTGTGTTGGTAAATTTCATTTTGGGACAGGAATTTCAAACACTTACGTTGCAATCGAGTAAATTAATTCTTTACTGTTACAAAAATGAATATAAAATAACTTGAACCAACAGAAATTACTACTTATATCTATATATGTACTTATGTGTACATATAGGAAATATAAATGCAAATGATCTTACTAATTGCTATTAAATTAAGTTTTGTTTGTTGTCTATTGCTTTTTGTTTAACTACATTCTCATCTGGTTATTTAAATTGTGACTTATGGGTGTGTTAGTAACCATTTCAAGAGTATTTTTTCATATTTTCATTTTTACTATTTTACCAAAAGAAATTCTCAACCGGTTTGTAGGTATTGCAAACAACTCCTCAATTTAGTCCATTAGCCAAATTTTCTTACTAAATAATGTTAATATAACTTTTATAAAAATAAATATCCTTATTGGAGGCTACATTACTAAAAGTTCGACAATTTGTTAACACCTTTTTTAAAATTTCGGCTATTGAGGGACTAAACAGCAATTCTCAACCGGTTCAAACAATTCCCTAATTGAGTCAATTAACGAAAATTACTTAGAAAAACACTTGTGAACAAATTAGCAAACTTAATTTTACTGCTTTACCCGATCATATCATATCAGTTCAGTTCATATTTTCAAAAATATAACTGATTTTGAACGCAGCAACTTCTAATAAAAAAGCTCTTAATTTTACTTTATTAAGAGTTGAGCGAATTTTGGACATTTTTTTTAATGGTAGAATGTCCGTATAAATTTATTTTATTCGACTTATATGTTTATTGTTACAAAGTGAGGGTCTGACATAACCTCGGCGGAGCAGTTCAAGATGCTACAAACAGTTGAAACCATATGTTGAGAGCGACTTCTTACATAATACTTTAAACCAATGGAGTTGTGACAATTTTGTATATTCGTGTGCCTTCCAGATAAACGACTTGAAATAGTCTGACTCCTGTAAAATTTAATCTTGTACTCTTTTCAAAAATATTTCCAACCTTCCAAGCGAAGAAGTTCTTTGAACTATTTGTAACTATTCATACATACCTGTATTAGGTGAAGCCGATAAAGGTGGTAATTCTAAGTAAAAGTTAGGACCTGTATTTCTAAAGGTATGGTTTTCGGACTGTTCAGCAAGTCTTGGCATATTTATACCAGAAAAGAGATTTAAGGATTGGGTAAAAATAATCTTCGTTCTTACCAGATATAAAGTCATATATATATACATGATCTTAGCGCCCTAAAATTTCGAAATTGGATCAAATGTTATCAAGTACATTAGATACCGAATATGACGGCCTAAGTGTCTATGGCTGAATTTTTCCGAAAATATTGATAAATCTGTGAGACCTAGTATTGAAACGCAGAGAGAATTTTTTATGATATTGTGTCCTAGTATCAAAATGGATAAAATTAGGGGAATGTTTCGCCCAGCCCCAATATACCCAATATTGTGCCCTAGTATGAAAAGGGGTAATATTAAGGGAATGCATCTTCCAGTCCCCATATATCTATTGTAATATAAAGATTTTCAAACTTTCAGTTGAATTTATGCCTTATATATCGGTCAATATGTGAGTTATCTTAATTAAATTCAGAGAGCATCTTGTTCTGTTAACAATAATTCGTAATGTCGAAAATGGATAAAATCGGCTCAATTGCTCAGCTCTCATACACATATCTTTTAGGTATAAGGATATAATCAAAATATTCAGACACACCCTTACTTAACACTTTCTTACTTGTCAAGTTATGGGCTTCTTACCCAGCGGTTAAGACCTATATATTATTAAATTATATTTCAGAACGACGCTGTCCTATTTTTCTTGACTAAATTTCGAAACCAGAGCTATATGAATGACTAAAAGTATAAGTTCAAAAGACATAAAACATGACAAGGCTTTTACTCATACAGGCTATTCTTCACTAGCGCTGCTACAGTCCACAGAAGTTTTCAGTTGTATAACTCAGTAGTCGTCATATTCAAATATTAACAAAAAATTTCAAAAAACCAATTTCGTTTTCATTTCTTACTCTCCACACATCTCTTTAAAGGCACTTCCTTTCTTATTTCTTAGCAATGTTAGTCTAAAGCTAAGCGTATAGTTGTAGTGGTAAGAAGAAAATGTGCATAGGGGAGAGGAAAAAGGCGAAAAACAATTAAATTATTTCATTTATGATGTCTCATATATTACTTTTTCATATTTGCGAATACCCATAGCTTACAGCTGTCATGCGCTCATTAAAGATTTGCTCTCGCTACACTGTGTGCTTAGCCTAAGGGCAGTAGTGCCTCCTAATTGCTCGGTATCGGTGTGAGCTATACATCTTTTATATTTTATTTTAATTATACTTTATTAAACACTTCATTCCATGTAAAATGTTAAAATAATATTTTTTATTTATTTTTTTTTTAAATTTTAATTATAATATTCACTTTTTTTATAACATCAACTTAAATTCCCCCGCACTCACCTCACTATCATTGCTGTGCAGTATGAGTTTGAAGCCGGGCAACAGATTCGGCTCCTTATTGACATCATCCAATGCCAGTCTTGCAGCTGGCATACACGCCTGGCCGCCCTGCCATCCTCCTGTGCCGGCAATCGGAAATATACCGCCTATATGCAGTTCATCGGGTCGGCCGCCGTTCGTTAAATCGGCGTTGTGTAAAATTAATGAAAGCAGTAAAAATATCCAAAATGTTACAACACCATCACATGTCATATCCTGCAAAAACAAACGAACACACAAAACATTGTTAAATATAACGGTGAAAAAGTCGAAAAAGGTTAACAAGCAAAAATTACAAAAAGTTAATTGCGAATGAACAATGCTCATTTGAGCACACACATACATCTGCCAGGCCATGTGTGTTTGTATGTGTGCATAAATTAATTAATTTGCATTTAACACATTTTAAACACCTTCAAGCTGTGCAAATTATTTTATTGTACAGAATAAAATTTCACAGACTTTAAAAAAATTAAGCGCAAATTGCTTCACACATTACCGTTATAATGTCAATGAGTGCATTATTGAAGCGCACACATTGCTGTTTCTATTTATACAAGCTGCTGTTGTTTGGTATGCATACCTATTGCATAAAAAAAGGAAACAATTAAAATAATATGAAAATGAAAAATAATATTAAAAGTTTTTTTTATTAGCAAACAAGAAAAAACGTTAACTTCGGCTGCACCGGAGCTATAATACCCTTAAAAGGTGCGTTTTTTATAGCTTGTTTTTGATTGATCAGCTTATATGGCAGCTATATGTTATAGTGGTTCGAACTTAAGAATTTATTTGATTTTACCGTTATTTTGGTTATCTTGTCATATAAAAAAGTTTTCCATACGAGGACTGGATTTTGAATGTTCAGTTTGTATGGTAACTGTATGCTATATTTATAGGCGATTTTAACAAACAATCAGCTTTTTGGGGAGAAAAGGACGTACGCAAAATTTTAGATCCATATCTCGAAAACTGTGTTACTAATTCACGTAGACAGACTGATGTGGCTAAATCAACTCAGCTCGTCTCCCTATTCTTTTATGTATTAATATATTTTATAAGGTTTCTGAAGCTTTCTTCTGATTACCGCAAACTTTGCGGCAGCCTTTATATACCATTGTCAGCGAATAAAAAAAATCATAATATAAAAACCAAACAAAGTGTTAAAAAACAATATGAATTCAAAAAATACCCAATATTAAAAAAAATAATCTCCCTTAGCTAATTTATTAGCAATTTAAAGCGAAAGAAATTATTATATTATACATAAATATTGACATTGCATTATAGTTGCCAAACAAAAGCATTACCGCACACAATAACTGCGCTTATGCAGGTTGCCACATGCCACCGTTTAGCACGCCTGATTGATTTACCACACCCCACTCGCTATTTGACGCAAAAAGTGCGCGCAACACTGGCAATACACAGACACGTTCTTGTAATTATATTGTTTTTGCTGTTGTTACATTTTTTATTATTGTTGTATTTTTTGCTGTTGCTGGACACTTTGTTGTTGTTGCATTTTTGTTACATTCAATACAATAGGCTGCTTAAATTACGCTGATTTCATAATAAAAATAATGTTTCGCCAAATTGTTATAATTATATTAGGGTGATCCTTCCTTAAAACTTCAGATTAAGGATTTTTTTTTTGTCTCATTCTTATGCCGATCAGCAGAGTATGGGTAACACAACTAAAATTTCTGTCAACTCTATCTATTTTAAAACAAAAAACGCAACACTAATTTTCAACACTCTGTAGCGACGGCCATTTTCAAAATTTAAATTTAAATGTAACTCATATATGTTTGGACTCATATTTGCCAGAGTTTCAAAGAAATCGCAACATCACTTGCTCAGCGGTTTTTTACCGGCAAAGTTTTATCGAACTTTATTTGTGTTAAATGATCTCCAATCGGGTATCAGCCAAACCTTACAATACCTAACGTAACATTTACTGACTACATTAATGTATACTGTTTCAGCATTTTAGGCATTTAATATGACCGTTTTCAGAGAGCTGTTATTAACATAATTCTGCAGAGGGTGTATAAAGGAGGGATTAAAACGAGCCAGATATTTTTCATTCGATAAAAGTGATTAAACACGAACCTGAAAGTTTAAACTTGATATATGTGTTCAAATAACTTTAAGTATCTTAGTTATAATTTCAAAGAAAAAGATACAGTTGTAGTAGCACCATACTGCCAGAATTGGTTTGAAACTTCGCTAATATTTATAAGCTAGAACTTTAAGGTCAAAAGTGACCGACTTGTTGTACATACAATAGTTCCAAGTATGACTACATCACATAAATTATTTCAGATGAAGGCTTTAACTAAACAGTACATCCACTATAATCTAATAACCATCGTGAAAACATCTCGAAATAAAATTCCTTTTCTGAATGCTTCTTTTCATAATTCTTAGCTTTTAGTACAGTTTTAGCTGAATTATGATTCCAGCCGTTTTTTAATTAAAAATAAGTTGCCTCGAAATAATTATTTTTACTATGAAGTACTCAATACAAGATTTGTACTCATTTATGAATTATTAAAATGCATCCTCATCAAAAATTTTTGTGTTAAATCTCTGAAAATATTGCCCATACATATTTATTTATAAAATGGTTCACCGATAGTTCCCAGATGAAAAACCTTGTCCACGGCAAAAAATAAACTCTCTTTACCGTAAATTAAATAAATATTTAACTCAACCTCCCACAATTTCACTCCTCCCCAAACGCGTGCTTGTTTAGCGCTTCCCCTGTTTGTTTGCGTTTATATTTTAATTATGCCACGTCCAGTTAAATGTGCAATGATGCATAAAATTGTGGGCACATTTGACGGAATTCATTTTCGCTATAACTACATAATTATATGCACGCATACAGGGTATTTCATTTTGGATGGCTGCAAGTTACCAATCAAGTGCAGAAAGTCTTCTTTTCTTAGACCTCTATTAAATATTATCCTAAGAAATACTAGATAAGTAAGATGAGCAGAGAACTTCGTTGTTGTTCAGAAAATGGACTAGAGTAACCGAAATCTGTTTTTTGACACAAAAAATTTTCGATCTTGTGAAGTCTTGATGAGTCAAACCTTTACATCCCATATCCTTAAACGTGCAATTAACATAATACCAAAAATTTAGTTTTAGTCATTTAGAGTTTCTATAAGCCCTCTAAATATTACTAGTTACTTGCGAACAGTTATTAACAGCTCTGTTGAAGACCGGAACAGGAAATATATGATATGAGAACGGATTTGACTTTATTGCTATACCCTTCAAATACTCGCTTTCATTTGTTCATGTTTGCTTATATTTAAACTGTGCCCAATATTTCAAGCATGGTTGCATACTTTTCTGATTACATTAACCGACACGCAAGCAATTAATATTTGAGAGTGTATGCGTCAGCTTCCAGGTTAATTAGTATGGGCTTAATGCAACTAATTGTATTTCATTTATAATAAACAACACGTATCTCGACTTCAGTGCTGATATCAAGGGAAATATATACAAATATATTCTCAAGCCAAAAAGAAATGGATGCAGGTATCATAAAATGATAACAATAGGTGCCCTTTTCTCATCACACACGTATCGAATCTTAACAAAACTTTTATTATTTTAATAAATAATTATAGTTTAGTACTCTATTTGAGCGCAAATCGTTAATAGAAACTGATTTTGATTCTACGGTAATATTATGAATGTCGGTTTGAAACTCTACTACCCCAAACGGCAACACACGCACAATTCAGCGTAGACACGAACATTTTATACAATAAACAGCAACATGCGCTTTACTTCATTGATTTCATTAAGGGAAATATAATATATACGTATATTTATATTCTTAGGAGGGAAAAGTTGGGTACAGAGACTAAATAGTAATGACAAGAGATGCATACTATTATCCCTTTAACCACTCACATACGAAACGGACATTAACAAGTTGTGCAATATTTTGGAGATGTAGCTGGGCACCAATTGACAAGGATTAACAAAATAATTTGATGCTCTATTTATCCTAAAGTCGTTGTTAGGAAACCGAACTTCATTCCTAAAAAAGTAGTACGGTAATACTTTGAATGCAAAATTTTTCGCTCGATAATATGAAGCAGTAGCTATCAGCCAAAAACATGATCGACCGTGGTAAGCCCATGCATTGTCTATACGATGATAAAGGCAGGATCATGGCAATCAAGATCAGTACGCGATGGAACGGTCTACCTGGATGCAAAACATGATTGGAATATTCATTGGTCACAGTCTGGTGGTGGCACACGCCTGCAGAATGTGGCTGACAGATCGATAAAAATGCACGAAATGTCAAGAGCAAGGCATCAGTGAAGCAATGGAACATCTCTTGGGCATTTGTCCCATATTGGCAAGGGAATGCCCCAAACATTTGTGGACCTGACGATATGAGACACTGTAAGAGATATCTTTAGTGAGCCCACATAGTCTGTTGAAATTCACATCAAGCGCAGGCATTCTAAAGAATGACTAGTCATGGATCATGTAACTGCACTCCATCTGTTATCGAAAAGGAACAAAAATGTTCTATACGTGGCTCATCAGCCAGACTAACCTAACCTAAGAAGCGGTATGCATTCCAATAAAAAATGAACTTTACAATATAAACTGGTTGCAATGAGATTAATTCCATGACGAACTCTTCAGTCACCAGATTTTTTCTAATCTAAAAATCTTAATATGAGCTCATACCTAAATGTCTAACTAATTTTTCCAAGTAACCTGAAACCCTAAACAGCTTAAGAAACTCTAAGCTAAATTTGTTTACTTGCACCGAAATAAATTCTTCGAATATGATTTCATACAAATAATATATGTTTTCCAGCGGAAAACTCTGCAAATTGAGAAAACTTCGAAGGTCAGCATTTACTAAAAGGAATTTGAATATTTACTCACCTGCGGCTAAGTGATTGAGGTTAATTTTCTGTCAAGAGCAGCAGCAAAGAGAAAAAAATAGAATGAATTTGTTATCCAAAAAGAACCTGACGATGGCAATTTGATACTTCAAGGTTTGCAAAGAAATTCTTTTGAATATGCAAACGAAAGTGGAAAGTTGAAGAGAAGAAAAAACAACTATAACGAAAAATTACAAAATTATAAAAATAAAATTATTAAACAACTGAAAACAGCAAACAGTAAAGGATATAATTTTCATAACTGCTATATAA